GCTGTTTGGAACATGTGCTCTCGCTGTCAGGTAACACACACAGGCCCGGTGTTCACAAAGGGGGCAGCAACTCTCCTGGCCCGGGCGAGCACTCGGGCGGGGGCGGGATAGACAGTGGCTCATAAAAGGATTAGCCCTGTGCACAAAGACAGTGGACCACTTCTAACCCCAGCTAGGTCCTCAAAAGAGATGACATTTGTCTGTCTCTGTGGAAGGAGGGGGTGTGGCAGAACCGGGCAGGATCTTGGAGGGGCCTGAAGAGGAACATTGACAGAAGGGGTGGATGAGGTGAAAACACAAGAGTGACCCTCTTTATGTGCAGCGGCCTTCTCTTTCACAGGACACCTCTGGCCCCCTCCATAGATCTGCTCTTTGGTGTTTATTTACTTCATGGTTTCTCCCCATTCACATAAGGTCCTCTGATGGCTCCATTGGGCAGACTCACTTCTGTCCACCTCCTTCCACATCAGGGACAGACACATTTAATTTCCTTTTCACACATCAGCTTTCTCAAATGTTATCCTCATACAGTATAAGCATTTAATTAAGGTAACAAGTGTTTTCTCTTACTGTGCAAATGAAAAAGCCAGCAAAGATCAGCAGGATTCAGGAAAACATTTAAAATTTGATTTGGTGGGAAATTAAGAATTATTTGTTTTTGCTGTGAAATGTGTCCATGTTTTTCAGTTTTGATATAACAAAACTTTGGATTAATAAGTATTTAAACCTTGGTGTCATTTAGACAAACCCTGACACAAAAAAACAGGAATGTTTTTTTCCTCTTGATATGGGGATATGGCTCTCTGCTCAGGGTAGCATTGCCTGGAGGGGCCACAAGTCAGTTAAATCAAATAAGTAAGCAGACATCCAATCAAATGTAAGCATGAAAAAAAAAAATCATATATATATGTATATATGATTGTTTTTTTTTAACGTGAAGTATTTTTTAAATTGTTTATTTACATGTTCAGTAGATGCAAAGTAGACAAAAATATATGCAAATAAATGAAAAGTTTGTTATCTATCAATGTTATCTATCAATCTATCAAGTTTTCCTTCCTTTTTTTCAATGTACAACATAAGTACCAGTGATGGTAATGATACTGAAAATAGATTTTGACTTAATTGTTTTTTTACTTAAGTTTTTCACTATTTTGCATTACAAATTTAGCTATTGTGCAACATAGTTCATTTTGAATAGAAATGCTTGTAACTGAATTTTAATTTAAATTTAAATGCCTATGTGACTATGTAGAATTGAACAAATGAGGTATTCCTGGATTTGAAAGGATATTCACTTTGTAAATTGTTGTAAAATGACATCTATTGTAAACAGATGCTACATAAATAAACAAAACAAAATTAAATTAAATCTGTATTTTAAACTCTTAAAAGATGTACACTTCTTAGACTTTTACAGTCTTGGTTCAGACCAAACAAGGATTATATACCTTATAATTATTTATTTTGTGGGTAGAAAAAAGTAAATTAATAGCAAGAATTCCATGAGATAAATTATTATTTTCCTATTTTTGTTAGTTTGTTTAATTCTTAGTGGAGCTGGTTTCTGTTTGGCTAGAATATTAGATATTAGATGAACAGGCCTGCCCTGGGAACCATTTAAACAGGAACTGATGTCTGATATAGTCAAAAATAAATCTATAATGTCGTTTTATTTATCTATTATTTTTATTTATGTATTGTGATTAGATTACTGTTATATATTTGGGTAATACAATACACTCCTGCAAACTCTTCAGCACTTAACGCAGGGTGGACCTCAGAAACAAGCAGAGGAGTCAGTGTTGATTATTGCTCATTAGCAGAGCGAACATCCACTTAACGTGTGGGGAAATGAGTTACACACCCGTGCGCGCCTCCCCCTGGAAATGGTCCCTGCGTAAAAGGCTCGGAACAAAATGTAAGCTAATGCATTCCATTTGCTCTTTGTAGCCGGGAGCAGGTTGGACACGTATGGCGACATAAGCAGCCCTGATTACTTTTGTTTCTGCGGAGGAATTTTTAATCCCTAATTTCATGCACTGATCAGAGGAGAAGCCCTGAGCCCCAAACATGATCACTGGCCCTTCAGTAGCGTTTAGTTTAAGCGAGATCCTGGTGATCAAGAGGGGTCCTTGTTTGCCCCCTCCTCTTCTGTAACAAACACCCTTTGAGCTGTGCAGGGAATATATATCAACTCTTCTGTTCTTGAAAACACAGGCAACCAGTTTTGCCTTAATGGTTTATTTCTTATAGAAATTGGACAGAAACCTTCTTGAATTTATATCGGTCGCTTTTAATTGCTATTTATAAATGGTGATGTAATAATCCATATGAAAACAATCAGTTTCAGAAATATTAGGTGCAAAGAATATCACTTAACATCTGTTTAAACAGAAATGCTGGTTTCTGCCGGTTTTGAATATGCATAAGGTCATTAGTTAGGACTTTCTGTAACATTATTGATTAGACAGGAAGATTTTTTCCTTATGTATTAAATACATACATTCATAAAAATCGACAAAAAAGATCGTCATGCTCGGATTTTAGTTTTTTGATCTCATTTTATTTAATTCATTTATTTATTTTTTTCCTTTTTTGTTGTCCGCCCGAGTTTTAAACGTGGAGCAGATTTTGTTCCGCTGACCAAATGAATTGGCCCCTCTGAGTTTTTCTTTTTTTTTACCCTCAAACTTTCTCAAATCGCAAGGAAAAATTAAAACAATTTTAATTTAGTGATATTCTATTAAGTTGTCTTAAAAGATAAGACAAATTAACATATTTGCATTACTTTTACATCATCAAAAGTAATGCAAGCTTACATTTTTCCACCGCCACAACGTCATTTTTTTAACATATCATTAATAATATTTAATTTGATCTCATCTATTTTTTGTGTGTTTATTTTACTAATACAGAGATCTGAAGGCTTAACTGAGAAGTTTTTCAACTCTAATGTTGAATCACCAAAGACAAAGTAACTTAACATTCAGGTTTGAAATGCAAAAAGCCAAAAGAAATGGATGTGATTATTATAATTTACATTATCAATATTATTACAAGCTCGGAATCGCTGCGGACGTCCATTCTAGGAGTAAAATAACCGATCTCAATTTAGAAGGATACAATCTTCTGAAAATTTAAAAATGCAAAACATAAAATAGAAATCATAAAACCTCTGGTTTGATAAATTAAGCGGGTAGGGGTGGAGCGGGGGGGTTAAAACCCTAAACAGAAAATGTGTTTGATTGTGTGTGTGTGCGCAACAGAGCATGGTCGGCTGCATGTGACTGTAGAGGGAGCTCCAACATTAAGTTTACATAAACTTCCTCTGATAAGCTCTCACACATGCAAAATGTACACATTACAGGCGAATAAAACAAATGATGTTATTATTAGTTTTACAGCCACGATACATTACAATTATACCACAAAACGGCCTTGCTTGAAAAAAAAAAAAAAAGTATGATTTATGTGAAAGCGAAAGGCATTAGAAATGGAGCAAGATGAGATGCTCTAAAACCAAAAGAAAAAAAAAAACCTTCAGGATTGACTAAATAAAAAAATCTTGAAAAGCTTTTCGTTCTTTACTTCTTTTAAAAATGAAAATTAATGAAAGAATTATGCTTTTTAATTTGAGCTCTATATGATTTCTTTATGGGGATAATCCCACATTAATATCCAAATGTATGCCGCAGCGCCGGCTAATTAGCCTTAAGTCCCTCTACTATAAAAGTGTGATAAATCCCTCTCGAATATTTACTTATCACTGCTAAGGAGGATGAAGTCTCTGCCCCAGGCTGTCCACTAATACACACACACACACATTTATAAACCCAAAGCAATGCACTTCAAGCTGTTTTGCACAACCTGCACCATCAAAAGCATCTGTCAAAATGCCTCTACTTGAAAGAGAAAAAAAATAAAGAAAGAAAAGCATATTTTTCCTTCTTTAAGTTGCAGCAGTTCATTTATTAGCCAAAAATATAGACTTTCTTGTACAATTTGGTTCACAAGTATGTACATATTCTTAACTTTATATACAAAAAAAATTATAACATCAAATCCTCACAGAACTTACCAAAAGAAAGGAGAAAAAAAAGCTCACAGACTACATGTTCATACATTATTACATTAGCAGTTTTACACGGGACATGCTTACAATGTAAGTAGGCTATACAGAGTTGTTTTATTCTTATTTTACATTCCATATTCGATTTGAAATAAAATAAAATAAAAAAAAGAAGGAGAAAAAATGGGACCGGGAACCATCGCTGTTTTAAGTCTGTCCTAAGGCCTTAGAATGAAACACACAGGCGTAAAAGCTAAATGAAAATGTGCATGGAAGGAGAAAATAAACAGTTATAAGAGCCTCTTGGAGAGTTAAAACATGAAGTAATATAAAAGTGACAATTGCCTTTTAAAAAACAATGAAAAAAATTAAAACAGCCTGAAATAAAATTTGCATTCAGTTTATTTATATGAGCAAAACAACTGAGTGTGGAGAGAGGCCTTAACGGAATAACACAAGCGGTGGACACACTCTTACACACTTTCAAACTAACACACACATACACAGGGGGATGAATCAAATTTTCAGAATCAAAGCTCATTTGGGTAATAATGGCTTTAGAAAAAAAAGAGCAAAAGAAAAAGAATGAGATGGCATCAAAATAATAAAACTAAAAAATCTAAACTGTCACAATCAGACAGCCTTCTGTCTGTTTGATCTGCCGGTTTCTTTGCATCCAAAGGCACTAGATCTTCCTACAACCGTGGGACAGAAAATGAACACTATAGCGCTGATTTCACTGCTTATTATCACCACCCACAAGAAAATGATCCGCCTTGAAGGGAAAACAAAAACACTTGTATATGATGAAAAGTAGGAGCTGAATTTTCTTTTCTTTTTTCTTTTTTGTCAATCGCACTTTTATTTATTTATTTTTTCTTAAATTACTATGTTTTCGTTTATATATAATGATGCAGGGCTTTTTTTTTTCCCCCCACAAAAAAAAAAAAAAAATCTCTTTCACACACACAAACACTGTCTGCTCCAAACTGTAACACTTCAACACTGATCATATTGTGGCCTCAACAGAGAGAAAACAGCATATCCGTGAGGTGAAGAAAGCAAAGGGAGACCTAAAATAAAAAAAAAATAAAATAAAATAAAAAAACAGAAAATTGCCTATAGTGTCTCTGGAGGTTTTTTTTTTCTACATGCGGGTCTCAGTGCCGGGGACATGTACCTGTGACTGCAGTCTCTGAACTATGACTCTTGTCCTCCGCTTGCCTGCTGCTGTACAGGGCCAGGCTGGTGGCGGTGGCCTGGTTCGCAAGTCCCAGATAATGATTGGAGTTCAGTAAAGCCAGCTGGTGCGCCGAGAACGCTCGGTTCGTCCAGTTCTGGATTTTCCCAACGGGACAGGAAGAGATGAGTCTGTGTGGACCGAGGATGGTCTGGGTGGCTGCGCCTCCTCCTGCCGCTGTCGGCCCGCTGCCATTTACCTGCGGCGACCTGCGGGGATTGTCGGGAGCCGTGGCAGTCTCTGCCAGCGACCAGATCTTTGGTTTCTGGGCCGGGGCTGGGTTGTTCTCTGAGGGCGGAGAGCTGACGGATACCGGGTTGAGTTTCAGCTGTTCTGTGTTCGCTTGGGACGCCTTGATTTCCAAAGAGGAGTGGTGGTGGTGATTGTGGTGGCCGAAGAGCTCCCCTCCTCTCTGCGCGTCCTTGGCCTCCTTCCCTACAGCCTTCAGAAACCTCTGCTCCGCACCTTGTAAATCCTCATAACCATCCGAAATCTCCGAGTCACTCCTTCCGTCTAGTTTAATGTCTGAGTGAAGGTCGTCCTGTTCGTCCAAGTCCTCCTTGCTCTCAATATTTTCCGTGTCGATGTTTTCCAAGTCAATCTCCTCCTCGTCCTCCCTCTTGTCCCCCTCCTCCCCCTCATGATCGCTGGTGTAAACATTCCCCTCTTCGTCGGTGCGGTTCCGAGGGGTCCAGGTCATCTTGTTCTCCTTCTTTAGCCTCCTCCTGGCGTTGGCAAACCAAGTGGACACCTGTGTGAGGGTCATCTTGGTGATAATGGCCAGCATGATCTTCTCGCCCTTGGTCGGATAGGGGTTCTTGCGGTGCTCGCTGAGCCAGGCCTTCAGGGTGCTGGTGCTCTCCCTGGTGGCGTTTTTGGGCCTGGACGGGTCACCGAACTGATACTGACCATATGGATAAAAAGCCGGGTGAGGGGGGGCGAACCCTGGGTGCTGGACACCGTGGCCATCTTTTAGATCATACTGAGCACCCTGCAAAAAGAAAGAGGGATTTTAAGTCTTGGATCTCCATGTAAAGTGTTGTTTTGCACTATTAAATAAAATATATAAAACAGCAGGTTCGTATTAGGTAGGAAGCAAAAAAAGTTTTTAAAATAATTTCTGTTGCTTTCATTTTTTTTTAAAATATTGCTCCATATAAGAGTAAACGAGAAAAATGTCACAATTTACAAATGCATTATCAACAACTTATGCAATTCCACCAAATATATTTTTAATCAATCATCTTCAAAAACTTTTAAGCAAAGAAAAAGCTCACACAAGATTTCGTTAATGTGTCACTTTGCAAAAGCACTTTTTTTTTAAACCAAACTGCCAAGCTACAAAGTTCACCACTGCGCTAAGAAAGTTCTCTCCCTGTGCGCACCCAAGAAGTTGCTCTGCGTAAAAGTTGCAAGAAAACTCAAAGAGGCTAAAACTCACCAACTGATTGAAAATGGATATATCGTTGGAGTAAGGTAGGAAGGCTCCGTAGCCCTGTGCGGCAGCGGCGAAAGGAGAGCCGTACATGCTGGATAGAACATTGGAAAGTGCGCCTGACGGACTCAGCTCCGCCCCGGCCCTGGTGCTGCCCGCGATCCCCTGTCGCTCCGGCGGGTATATCGGTCGGATGTACTGATATCCCAGCTGAGGGAAAGACATGTTGGTAGGAAGCGGGGGGGAAGATTCTTCTGCAGCCTCGCAAAGCAACGGACTTGCCTCGGTATCCACTTTTACAGTGTGAACATGTGAGCAACAAAATTTGCCAGGTATTGGAAGTCTATTTCCTCGGGAACAGCCAATGTAAACGATCCCGCTTGCGTCCCGCGTTTCTTCCTCCTCTTCGTCTTCTCTCCACCCTCACTTCCCTATTGATCTGGATGGACTAAGGTCAGGTCCTTACAGATTGCTTCAGATTATTGGGACTCCCTTGCTCAGATTGACATTTCTAGTCGTTTTGAAGCCCCTCCTATTTCTCAAATCTCACCCCTCTAGTACAAACCACACGCCAAACAGCGCTCTTTCTCTCTCTCTCCCCTCTCTCTCTCCTTCACCCTCCCTCCTCCTCCTTCTCCTCCCTCCCTCCCTCCCTCTTTCTCTCCCTCGGATAAGTGCACTAATGTCGGGAGCTGTTTTTTTTTTTTTTTTGAATGGGGCTTCAAATCTCATTATATCGCTCCCCAAATCTATTTCATTTCATGTTTGTCCTGCAGACGTTTTCAGATTCCAAATTTTAGGAAGAAAAACAAATTTCCAACACATTATAATGATTAACTTTAGTTGGTAATCTTTGCAAGTTTGTTTGTTTTGTGTTTCAAACACAAAGTTTCTTTCGTAAGAGCTGAAAGTCTTGCGTTAAAACTGCAAATTCAACCTGTATTGAAATTCAGACTGTTGCCAAATTTTTATTGTCTATTTTAACGCAGTTTCTGTCTCCTAAAGAAGTTCTTAAACATTCAAATATATTTTATTTTACTGCAAACAAAATTCTTAATGTTTAAATGAACCAAACAAATTGTCTTTAGGATGCATGCATGAGCATTGTCACAAGTTTTATTTAAAGCTTGGACGTTAAGTGAGAGTTTAGCTCTTATTGAGCGCTTTGGAAGTGTTATTTGGGCTCATGGAGAGGGAGCAGAATCGGAGTCATTCTTTTTAATTCGAAACATCAAACATGGGTCGCGTGTAACTGCTTGGTATCAAAGGGGGGAGACGCTAATGATGGGGCGCGTTATGCTGTTAATGAAGACTAAGCGTAAAATAACAACTGTGAAAACCAGAGGGATACACATAGTGAACCGAGCAGGAGAGGTTTGTTCAGAGAATAAACATAAAAATTAACAATTATATTTTCTATTCCTGACGAGTTCAAAGTTACACTTCTGGAATAAATAATAATAATAATAATAATAATAATAATAATAATAATAATAATAATAATAATAATAATAATAATAATAATAATAATAAT